CAACTGAGCCATGTCTAAAGAGTCAAAAGCCGTGCGATATTTGGGCTTAAATTCTTGAAATGTACTACAGCTAATTTATTTTGCGTGGAATCGCCTAATCTGTTTAAATTTAATTGATTGTTAGTTATCTAATAACTAGTTGCTTTATGTCTTGTTTTGTTTTATTTATTGTTCTTTAATAACTTAAATAATAAAACAATTTTAAATAAAAAAAAAAAAGTTTGCCCAAAACTCCTTGTTGGTTCTGTGGTGAATTTCATTACTCGCGGCACTGTCCATTCAAAAATCACAAATGCGACAGATACAAACTTGTCGGGCACAAAGAAGGATATTGTAAGTACCGAAAAACTCAAAATGAAAACCAAAAATACCATAAAATTGATGAGGGCCGTCAATTCAATTCAAAAAGCACCTTTACTACAAATAGAGTCAATATGATTAAATACAAATACATATTAGTCAAAATTAATGGCACACCATTAAATTTACAACTTGACACAGCATCAGATATAATAATAATTTCTCTAGACAATTTCAAAAAAATCAAAGCCGATAACGTTAGCGAATCAGAACATACAGCATGCAGCGCAACAGATGAGTTACCATTGTCAGCAAAATATAAATGCAACGTAGAATTTCAAAATCAACAGCAAAGTTTAACTATTTTGTTACTCCTATACATAATCTCAAGGTAATGAGTTAAGATTGGATACTAGAATTTAACTTATGTAATATGTCAATAAATTCTATTTGTAATAACATTCGTCAGAATCAGGATAGTATCCAATTGTGTTCAAATCTGAACCAAGATACTCACCTTAAAATTTTTTCAGATGTGTTCGACGGAAAACTGAGTTTATGCACTAAAACAAAAACAGTCATCACAACGAAACCAAACGTTCAGCCACTATTTAGACCAAAACGTCCAGTTGCATATGCTGTACAACCACCAGTTGAAGATGATCTCAAAAGACTCCAAGAATTAAAGGTTATTTCACCAGTAAAGTTCTCCGAATGGGCAGCACCTATAGTTGTTGTGAAAAAGTATAAAAGGATAAAGGATAAAATAAAATACAAAAAAATAAGAAGAAAAAAATTAAATTAAAGTAAATTAAAGTTTAAGTAAGGTTGATAATAAATGTATAAAAGAAAGAAAAAGGAAATCAGTGCGTTGGTACATTTTTTCTGCGTAATCTTGAAGAAGGTCACGTTAGCAGTAGATTCCTTGCAAGGTGGTTCGGATGAATTTCAAGTTATTGTTTATACTTTCATTTGATTTTAATGAGTTCATCTTTGATTAGCGGTATTTTCAGATCTTCATGAATTTTACCACTTCTTATGTAGCTTCGGTAAATAAACGAAGGATTTTGAATGTTGGAGGAACATGCATTACCCCATAGTTCAGCGCCATACTTTCAAATTGGCTTAAGTAAACTATTATAAAGCAACACTTTGTAGTTTAGCTGTAACTTGGAATTTTTATTCAATAACCTGTGAAATTTTTGTGCTTTTAGTTTTATTTGCGTTCGCTTAGCCTCTAGATGTTTGCGCCAAGTTAGTCTTCTATCCAAATGAACACTCAGATACGATACGGTGTTTGATTGTGGAATGGTGATGCCGTTGAAGATTACTGGGTACCATGTGTCCTTACGTAGGGTAAATGTTACATCTGTGCTTTTACTTTCATTTACGCAAATGCGCCAGTTCGAGGTGTTAAATTAAGTCCCTAGATGCTATGAATCTATTTTGATGAGAATTAAGGATAGCAGTGTTATCAGCAAACGTAGAAGTCACAAGATGACAGTTGATTGGTATATCCGAAGTAAACAGAATATATAGTATAGGACCTAGAACACTGTCTGAAGAACTCCAGCCTTTATGTCGAAATTAGCTGTTGTATGGCTTCCAACTTTTATATGAAATTTCTTGTCCTGAAGATATGAAGATTTGAAAATTTGTGGATGTAGACAGCAGTGTGTTCCTTAATTTTATAAATAAGTCCTGCGTGCCAAACCTTATCAAAAGCTTGTGCTATATCGAGAAATATAGCAGAGCAGAATTTTTTATCTTCAAATGCTTTCCTAATCTCATTTGTTATGTGATTCACTTGCTCGATGGTGCCGTATTTGGTACGAAAACCAAATTGGTGGCGACGTAATATGTTGTTTTGCTGTAGATATGTTGTTATCTTCCCGAGAAGCATTCGTTCAAAAAATTTCGACAGCATTGGTAAAAGACTTATGGGTCTATATGAAGACGGTAATGTTGTTTTTTCCTGGTTTAGGAATCATTATGATTTGTGAAATTTTCCAATTTTGAGAAAAGTACCTAAGTCGAAGTATTGCGTTAAATATTTTTGTCATTATTTTGAAAGCTATTTGAGGTAACTGTATTAGCATTTTTGCTAAAATGTGGTCATATCCCGGGAACTTGTTGACATATAATTGGGTTTTTGCAACATGATGAATCTGTTTGGTTTTGAGTTTGAGACGTTCATATCTGACTAGAGGATCTTGAATTGGTTGAAAGTTATTGGTCGGAGGGTTTGGTTGAAATACCTGGCTTAAATAATCTGCGAACACATTTGCTTCATCTCTAGCCCATTTCCCATCGGCTTGTCTGAGCGGTGGTACACTCTCCATAGGTATTTTTAATGTCCTTACCGAACGCCATAGGGAATAGTTCGTCCTTTCTGCAGGTGTTAACTTCTGTACGTAAGTGTTCAAACTATTTTCCATCTCTATGAGCAATGATTTTTTTAGGCGTTGTTTAGCTGCAAAAACTTGAATTTACTTGTAGGTGATCTATGTTTTTCCCACATCCGTCTCAGATATCTTTTTTCTCTGACAATATTTTCAATTGCATCTGAGGACTTTATTGTAGATCTAGTGAATGTTATCTCGTCAGTAGGAGTAGCGTGCTTAGCCGATTTTAAAACTGAGTCAATTGTATTAAGAGCCAAATCGATTTCACTTACACACTGTAGAGATGGGTTTATATCTAATTGACTACTAATATATTGATGATATCTCAGCCAATTGGTTTTTTATGACGTTGTTGCCCTTTGGTTGTTTTTAGGTGTCTTGAATAAGTTTGTAATAACTGGAGAGTGATCGGATGATAGTTCGAAGCTAGAATGCACAGTTATTAGTTCATGGTCAATGTTTTTCACTATACAAAAGTCGATTAGATCTGGATTTTTTTTGGGGTCAGATGGCCAATAAGTGGGTTGTCCTGATGATATGAAATCTATTTTGTTGCGGTGATTTGTAAGAGTAGAGCAGAGTTGCTTTCCTTTTGGGTTTATTAGACGGGAACCCTAATAAGTATGTTTGGCGTTAAAGTCTCCCGCTGCGATAAATTTTTTACCGAGATTATGGAAGAAATCCATGAATTGAGCTTCGGTAACCCGTGAGGCTTATCTTTAGGATGGTTTTTAAAGTAGAAATTGAATCCAGGTACAGAAAAATTGTGTTTGCTACATAGATGGGTTTTAGATATTCGAAGAACATCAATATTACGATATTGACGATAAAAAGTTTATGACTTTAAGTTTGTGCTGGCATTCCAGAATATGTCACTGGAATGCCAGTTTGTGCCGCTGACATTCCAGTGACATATTCTAAGACAGTTTATTTATTAGCTCAAAGAAACTGCATCATTTGATTTTGAGTTTTTATTAGTTGGGTAAAAGTTATTAATATTGATTCTAAGTTTTGATTGGGGGTTATTGAATTTTTAGGAATTTGTTTAACTAAACCATTTTTTAAGACGGCTGAGTATGAATTAGCTGTATCAACTTCTTTTGTGATTGTTTGGTTGATATTGACTGAATTTTGTTGGATTATGAATGAAGCGTTTGGTACCTTTTAAGAGCATATTTTTATCTGTACTGCATTGAGTTGAGTGGTGAGCACCACCGCAGGTCACACAAACCTTGCGCAGAGTACAATAACTTTTAATATGCCCAAATTCCTGACAGTTTAGGCATTGCACTGAAGTTTTGCGTTTATGAGGCTCCTCAACTGTTATCTTACGATTTAGTAAGAAACGCAGTGGTAAATTGAATAAATCTCGTTATTTTTTAATTTTTTAAGGTCTGGTTCTAATTCAATTTTATATAAAGGTTGAGGAATTTTATTTTTGATTTTTATGTTAAAAACTGATTTTACCTCAAAACCAGCATTTTCAACAGCTATTTTTATTTCTTCAGTGTCGGCATTCGGTTCGATGCCTTTAACAACTACTGCTATTCCTTTGCTACTTTTGAGCTGGTAAGTAAAAAAAAAATTTTGAATTTTTCCTTTAGATAGTCCTTAATCTTACATAACTGGTTTTCTTTTTCAGTTTGTATCTTCGTTTCCTCAATTGCACCTTTTTTTAGGAGGAGTAACATAGAAAGACTTGGAGTCAATTAATTTAGAAAGATTGGTTACAAGAACACTTGAACACTTTTCACGTCAGTAAATTGTCATAATTTTCAAAGTCAATTTTAAATTTGACTTATTAGTCATTTTTTGTGGGCTCAATTTTCTTTTAATATTAACACAGTTCCATAATATTTCACACAGTTTCGTAGTGAACATTTTGAACAATTCTTAAAACAACTTCGTTGAACATCTTTATTCCAGCCCTTACTATCCAATGTCGAATGGTCAAGCTCAAAGGTTTGTAGACACTTCCAAACGATTTTTAAAAAAATTAGAAGGAGAGGGGACGATTACACAAAATTTATGCACATTTCTTCAGACATATCGTTCAATACCGAATGTAAACTCACCAGAGAAACGATCTCCAGCAGAAGTCATGTTTGGAAGGAAAATGAGAATAGATTTAGATTTGCTGCAGCCAAACAAGCTACACAATGCAAAGTTAAGTCCAAATAAATTCAAAATGGAAAAGCAATTTAACAAAAGGCACGGTGCTAAGGAAACAAAATACTTTATATTAGATAAAATATACGTCAGTATTCCAAATGGAGTTAACCATTTCAAATGGATGCTTGGGGAAGTCATTGAGAAAAAAGGAAAAGTAATGTACAATGTTGCTCTGAACAATGGAAAAGTAATTCGTGTTCATTGTTATCAATTACGAAAGCGCTACCACGACCAAAATAATAACCACAGATTTTGGGAAGCTGCACTAGATGTGTATGACTTACCGCAACAATCAGATCAGTCTACAAAAGTACTCAACAATCAGACACTGCCTAAGATTCCACCACTATCGGCATCGCCAACCGAGTTATCCATAATGTCTACAACAATTACAACGGCTACATCACCTGTTCTTCGTAGGACAACACGTAATCGCAAAGCAGTAACTAGGTTTCAACCACAGTAAGACATTTTGAAGAGGGAAGGTGTTACGATATAAAATCAATGATCGTAACGAGATGGCATCACTAATGTGATCAGCTGTCTTATGCGAGGAAATAGTAAAAAAGGCGCGTGCACATTTTTACAAAAAATATAGATTTAAGTAATTATAATTGTGAACGTATTGTTCCAACAAGAAAATAAAATATTCTGAACAAAGAAATATATCAATATATAACAAATATTTTGAAAATTTAGTATTTCTGACTTGTTTCTGTAATCTTGCTATTTATTTGAGCAATATTGCAATTATTTTCAATTTTTTTATATTACTATAGCTTAAATTAATCAAAAGCTGTAAAGAATCGCTTAAAATGAACAAAATTCGTAAATTATCTAGTTTGCATGTCTTTTCCAAAATTTATTATCTAGTACATTGTGACCGAAAAGTTTCCGGTCAAAGTTAAATAAAACGCAAAATTCTTAATCTTCATCAATATTTATTTTATCTCCTTCAAAATATGCTCCATTAGAAGCGATACACAAATGCCAACGTTTCTTCCAATCATCAAAACATTTTTTATAGGCGCTTTCCGGTATGGCTTTGAGTTCCCTCTGCGAATTCTGTTTTACGTCTTCTATGGATTCAAAACGCGTTCCTCTGAGTGGTAATTTAAGTTTGGGAAACAGGAAAAAGTCACACGGTGCAAGATCAGGTGAATACGGTGGCTGTTCGATGGTATTTATTGAATGTTTGGCCTTAAAATCGATGGTGTTTTTGGAACAAATTGAGGTGAATCGGAACAAGCCGAGCGTTGACACGTCGCATACAGAAATTGTCCACCAAAATCAAACGAGCCATCTCACGACCGATGCCTAGCTCTCGTGCTATCTCTCTAACACTCACATGAGGATTTTGGAACACGATTTCTTTGCCTTTTCAATGTTTTCGTCGGTGGTAGAGGTCGAAGGTCGTCCAGAACGCGGCATGTCTTCGACGGTCGTACGACCGTCCTGAAAGGCTTTGTACCACTCATAAACTTGAGTTTTCGATAAAACTGATTCCCCATAAGCCTTTTGTAGCATTCGCAACGATTCTGCACACGAAATTTCGTTCGAAACACAAAATTTGATGCAAACTCTTTGTTCAATATTTTTTTCCATTGTTTTTTTCGCAACGCACTACTGAGGTGAACTGGTTTCAACAGCTGCCGTAAACGAACTGTCTGACAGAGCGCGCTCATTTTTGGCATAGTAATTGTCCTTAATTGCTGCCAAACTACATAAACTTAAAATATCGAAAAATATACAGCGCGCGAATTTTAAATGAGAGTGACCGAAAACTTTTCGGTCACAATGTATATATATACAATGTAAGTTACTTTGCAAATTTGTTTGAAAATGACAACCACTATCCACAGCACTTTGCAAGGCAGATGTAATCCTTTACTACATTGTCATTTACCTCATTTACGCTATTTTGCTGGTATTGTTGCTTTTTTGGGTTAGAAATTGCAATTTCACGAACTGACTAATGTTTTACCGTTCTTTCTTCATGAAAAAATAAGAAGAATTGGTTCTTCCAATTTAAACTAAAACTTAAAAAAGGCTTGAGTTCGTTTTAAATAATACAGTCAAACTTCCGTAACTCGAACTTCTATCACTCAAATTTTCTATAACTCGAACCAAAAACAGTGCACCAAGGTTTTAGAGAGCAAATTACATACAATTCTGCTTTCATAACTCGAACTTCTATGACTCGAATTTCTCTATAACTCGAACAAAAATTTTGTTCCATGCCTATAGGAATATATGAAAGTACATTCTATAAGTAGAATTTTTGTTTTAAGTGCAAATGCATTTTGCTGTTAGGGAAAGTCACTTTTTTCAAGCCAGAAGTTTAATTTTTTCTTCCTTATATTGCTTCTTTATGCAAATACCAATTTCTGACGGCGTGGTTTAAAGTAAATAAAATCACTTCCAATGCTACTCTTAACGATTATATTAAGCTTGACAATGAAATTTGTAGATCAACCTCACCTACAGATGACGATATTATTAAGTACTATAGCTCTAAATTACTGTATCCAATTCTAAGCGCAGCGGAAAGTGATGATAAGGGTTCGGCGGATGTAATTGTTCATCAGCCTTCCAAGAATAAAATAGAAGACTTATTCAAAATTCAGAATATATATTTGCATCGAATGATATTACAACTGATGATCATTATAAGGCTTGAAATGAAGTAGAAGCTCTTTTTACTGAAATTAAGAAAAAAATTAAAGTCCCAAGCGGTAATTTCTGAATATTTTACTTCACTATAACTTCTGTGCTTTATTTGATTGCAAATAAATAAATATCTTAAAATGTAATTCGAGTTTTTTTCAAAAATAAAAAAAAATTAAAAAATTCTCTAACTGGAAGTCTCCATAAGTCAACCATTTCTTTGCAAAATTGGACTTCGAGTTATGGAAGTTTGACTGTATTTTCATTAAAAATGGAGGGTCCAACTCCTTTAATAAAATTGTAACAGGCAAAAAATACAGCAACTAAAGTAATGATGTCAATTTACTTTTCTAGAGCAAAATGGTTTCTTAACAAATTTTCGAAAATGTGTTAGGAAAAAAGCGGCTATGTCGATACTTTCTATATAACGATAGCAAACCAGCAAATATCGCTTAAAATTCGTCCAGTATCATATTTCCCGGACCTAGTGCTGGTCATTTCCAAACAAAAAATAATTTAAAAGAAGGAGTAAAATAATCTCTTATTAGGTGCACTTGTGTAAGTTCTCTTCTAGATACATATATATACATATAATATATGTATGCCATCTCGTAGATGATCTGCATTCTGTTGCAGTTATTTAAATTGATTGGAAATTATAATCAAATCAAACATAACGAATCTAGAACTGTTGTTGACAAGTTCGAAACTCATTTCAAACATTGTAATTACATGATATATTTTTTGTTAAGTACCAGGTAATTTTGTTTGATCGTTAAATTTCCCAGATATTAGTTCGATGCGTGAGTTGTTGCATGGAAATCTAAAGAAGCCATGAGAAGTCTTTGGAATTAATAGTAAATGCTTTAATCAGATACGAGATATGCTTATCTATTTTTTTATTTAGCGCTCATCATAATTTCAATTCTTCGTACCACTCACAGTTTATTTTGTATACTACATTATTCAGTACTGCTTATTGATTTTTTTTTGTTATTTAAGAAATTCTTTTTTAAGTACCACATAGGGTTTTGAAGGCACAACAAATTTCATTTTGTTGGATTATTGTAGTTTGATTTGTAAGTTCTATTGAAATTTTGTTTCTTAAATGTGCTGTCGCATATTTCAATGATTTTGTTAATAAAATATACAGTATTCAGTTTTCGACTTTAATAAGTACATAGAGATATATTAAATAAGATTAAAATTTTACTGTTTTTTATGGTAATATGCTGTATTCTATTTACTAGCTCGTAAGAGTTTTTGATGTTATAATCCAATGACATCAGTTTTCGACTTTTATAAGTACATATACACATATTGAATAAGAATAAAATTTTACTGTTTTTTATCGTAATATGTTGTATCCTATTGTCACTCTTTTTATTTTTACTTATTTCTCATTTTGTTACTTCTTTTGTAGTATTGCTCATATGTATCTTTTTATGCTCTCTTGAGTGTTATGCTCTCGTAGTGTAGTAATGCAAGAATTATAATAAAGAAATGAAAATCAGTTTGACGGGACACTCTTAAGTACGCGGACGTGTTTTATTTAAACTCGCAGTCTGACAGAATCAGAAGTGAAGAAGAAATTGAATAAAGAGTGCAACTAATAAGGTAATTGCAATAAGTGTAGACAGTTATTAGTGGATATAATGGATTCGAACACAATGGAAAATGCAATTGATTTGGATGATTTTCCAGCGGACATTGGAGTCATTAATACAATGCGGTGGCGACGTCGATGCCGGAATTAAATGCGAACAAGTATTTTGTGCGAAATACTGCTCTACATGCAACAAGTCAAACTACAACTACAGCAGATACAGAGAGTGTTTCTTTTCCTTCGATGACTGTACCGAACCAATGCATGAATAAATATGCGTGTGCATCAACAAGCACAGTGTGGTTTCTGCAAGCATCACTTGTAATGAATGTGCCTAATGTGTCTACGTTGGCGGCTGTAATCTTTTTAACCCCTGAGTATGTGCCAAAGTCGCCGTTAGTCGCACCAAACATAACTCCAGCTGCTACGTCAGCAGAATATGTACCGTATATGCAGAACAGACAAGGTCAAACCAATTTGCGTATGCAGTATGAAACAAATGTGTGTTCGAATGTTGCTATGGCAATGCAGAGTGCGAGTAACTACTGTAACATACGAGAAATTATAGATGTTTTGCCGTCATTCGACAACAGTGATGACGTCACATCAGTGCAGTTTGTTCAAAGTGTTGAGCAATTAAAGAATGCATACCAGTGGAATGACCATATTGTTCTATTTGCTATAAGAAGTAAATTGAGAGGTGCCGCAAAATTGTGGATCGATTCGCAACCAGTATTTCGTAGCTGGGGTGAATTTGTGGTCGCATTCTTAAATGATTTTCCGTGTGTTTTAAATGCTGCTGATATTCATATGCAGTTAATGAGCAATCAGCAGAGAAAAAATGAAAGCGTTGTTGAGTACTACTATCGAATGTTAGCTATTGGACGCCGCGGACAACTCGAAGACCAAGTGGTCGTAAGATATGTAACCATCGGGCTGTATGACGACGGGTTGCGGAAGACATTATCTGCTATGCAATTTAAAAATTGCTTTTGTGAGGTCGTTGCAGAACAGTAATGTAAGCGTACGAAGACCAGCAGTACGTTACAATGATAATCAATATATGCCGAATAAAAATAACAGTGACTCCAGTGTAACTCGTGTGGTAAAAACGGGACCGGTTTGTTATAATTGTCGGGAGTATGGGCACATTTCGAAAAATTGTCCAAAACCGCAACGAAAGCCGCGTTGTTCAATGTGTTCAGGAAACCATGACACAAAAACGTGTAATAAACGAAATCCAGTAAATGCGATTGAAAAACCTGGTATAATAATTAAACAAATATATATTA